CCCTCTTATTTTAGCTTAGATAAGGAATAAGCTTTTTATAGAGTTGAAAAAGTAGAAGCTGTCACTGGTGGTGACATACTGTATAGAGTGTATTTACATTTTAACAATTGAATGGTTTACCTCAAAATGTCATCTGTTGTTTTGTACGTGACTCCCAGAGCCCATGACTTCATTCACAAATTCAATTTATTTTCTTTTTACCACAATAGTATTTTTGAGACATATGCTTATTTTTACTACAATAATTAGGAGGAAATGTCTGTCTAATAAATAACCAAATAATATATTTCATATAGATGCATTGAGAGTATTTTATCAATAAAGTATAGATTGTAGATATTTTAATTTTAAACCTTTGATAGGATTTGATTTTGTAAGAACATGGACTTTCTGAAGTGGCAACTGGTTTCTTTCTTCAAGTTAAATACCAAGTGATTGAGTATATTGTTAACTGTTTTTCAAGAAATCATCCAAGCTTAAATGAGCATTATCATGGTACTTAGGAGACAGGTGACCAATAATGTGACCGATAATCATTAAAAGCTTATTGCAGGTATTTTGGCTTTTGGGATCTTAATATGTGAAAATTTATAATGCCGCTATTGCTATTGTATTTCAGATGAATGTAATTGCAATCTGGCTCAGTTTGCCTAATTCTGAGTTATGAATGGTCCTGGTATTTGTTACATTATGAACTGGTTAAAGATCAAAATTATTTTAGTGTTATGAAAAGCCATTTTTAAGGGGGATCTGAAGGCTTTTACACTTGAAACCCTTCAAATCAGTATTTTACTGGAGTTTAAATTACTTAAATGTAATGATGAATTTTGTTCCCCTCTTTGGACATTTTTATTAGTCACATTTCAACCTTCAGACTTGGCTCCACTTCCCAACAAACAGGTAAATGTTCATTTTGGAGGATAATTGTTCTATCTACTGATTCCTTTATCTAATCAAAACTCTTCTCATCTGCTTCGTTGACTGGCATTAACATTAACATTGACTGATGTATTTGAAAACAACTGGCTCATATATATTCTTAATTAAATTATAGCATTTGCAAACATTTGTTGATGTAACTCTCCATTCTACAAATGTGTTATTCCTCTCGTTCCTTTTACATCAGCATTTGTCAATCTATCAATCTATAGACCTTGAACTTTTGTTCAGTTTATCTCGCATGTAAGTACAGTACAGTATGGTTTACTTGTTAACTGCTTAAACAGTTTGAGCCAGTATTCCTCTCAATTTTTAAAATGTCATTTTTATATCTGTAATTACTAATCCACATGCTGGATACCTGACCTTCACAGAAGTAATTACCCTGATACATTTGCAGGACTACTATCAAGCAATTTAGACTTGCAGTTTAATGCTAGTGACATTTCAGGGAGAAATTTTCACTTGAACACCTAAACCTCTCTTTGCTATAACCCAAGACAAGGCATGCACTGACCATGGGATTGAATTTATGGTTACTTTTATCTTAGATCATTAAATATTTTAATGTCACTGATGAAGTAGAGAAGTGTTTTCACTCTACTTTTTCAGATTAAATTGTATTTTGTAGAGCAACCTATGAGATAGTGCTTTTCTTCTACTTTCCAAGTACAAGATCTGTATTTTTATCCCGTCTCACAATTAGAAGTAATTTTCAGACCTTGTCTTTTTAAAATTACTTTATGTCAGTAATATTCCCATTGTGACTACAAAATTAGGTCAAGGCAAACTGAAACAATTTCACAGCACAATACTCTTTCCACTCCCACATGGTTAATGTACTTAATGATCATAGGGTGATTTATTGGTTACTTCTGTAAGAAACTTTTATAGAAGCACCTTTGTGTGTGTCAGTGTTTTGCATAGAAGTGAACTGATTACAGTTGTGTGATTATCTTATGATTTTGCTTAAGCAGTAAAAGATGCTGCTTATGCACAGCAAATCAAAATCATCAAATGATACTGAGGTGAAATGGAAAAAGGAATGACCATAATTTGAGTCTGGGGAAAGAACTTTTATATAATATAATGGCTCTAAAATCACACAATGGAAATATTAGGGTTCAGCTGGCAGTCTTACATTTTAGTCACAACATAGGGTTGTTCCTACAAAAATATTATCTTTTTGGAAATATGACATACATTAAAGGAATATTCAAGTTGAAAAATTAGTTATATATAATCCACTTCCATCTATTCTTTTTTTTTTAAAGGTTCACTTTGTATTGTGGCACTGGGAGAACTGGAAAATATTGTTAATCTTCATTATGTTATCCCATTTTCATAGTTTCATTGTAAATAATTTAGATACACAATACTATATTTATAGTTGTGTTATTATGAAATTTAAAGCCCTGTTAAATAGAATATTACAAAAATAAATAAGCAATATTTGTCATTATTATATACAACTGGCTCTTCTGCAGAATGATTGGTCAAATATAGCATTGCATTTTTCAAAGTTAAAACACTTGTTCATGCTTTTGCATGGTTTTGAAAATGTCCCCTTGTGACATACTGGGAACTGCACGTTGATAGAAAGGGGGACAGAAAACTTTTCATAAAGTCATTTGAGAATAACTTGCTCCCACAGATTTTAATCACCTGGGGACCAGAGCTATAAAATTAGGACAGAGTAATAACCGTCCTTATTAATTAGAAAGTTATATGAAGATTCTTATATCGGTATTCTCACAATGTATTCTGCCTAGCAAGAATCAACACAATTTTTTTAGCTAATACAATTCTCAGGAAAACATCAACTATACCATAAAAATATCAGTATCTCACCAAAATACACCTTTAATTTGTGAGGAATGAGCAAAAGTAAGCTCCCTAGAAAAATAAATACAATATGAAAATGACAAGATATTAGTTGTGAACTACTTAATGCTCAAAATCAAAGTAGTGGGTTTCCTTGCTTGGGTCCTACGTACATGCAGGAGTGGCTTGTGGTACAATGATATTAGAAGATGAGGCAGACAAGTTCATGCTTTGAAGTCTGTAGTACACGGGGCACTTTGACACATCCTTTTTGCAAGAATGAGAAATTACATGTGGAATTGTAAAGAAGATTCCAGCATATCAAATTCTCTCATAATAGTTCCTGGATTTGCTCACTTACAGCCAAAAACCCCACACTTGCAGAGCTGTGGCTACTTTCAGGATGGATCTAGAACAAATTTAGGCTAAGCCTTCTGCTGAGAATGGTGACTTGTTCTGCCTTAGGCTATACTATATTTGCTGTTATACATTTGTTCCTACTAATTCAATAGCAGAAGTCTCATTGATTAAAGTGGATGTTCAATAAAAATTACTGGTAATTCGTATTTTGATTGGTCCTGAGAGCAAGGAGCATGAACCTGAGTTCATGTACACAACTGATTCAAGGACATGGAAAAGTCTGTGTAACTCCTAAGCATCCTACTAACTTGAATTGAATTATTATGCATTATTAAAAATGGTTTGATGATATCAATCCCTTCACCCTTTTAAGTTCTGCGTATTTAAGTATCCTACAATTACAGTGCAAGTTGATGTTTGCTACGGGTAGCAGTTCTCTCTCTGTACTTTGCGCCTGGTACTTAGTGATTTATTTTAGACATTTAAGTAGTCTGAGCAGTTATTGAAATCTGTGACCTTACTTACTTTATCTTCTATAGACTACTATGGAACTAACTAGCAGTATTGAGGCTTAAGACCCAACAAGGCCTGATTTTTAAGTTATTTTAAGGCTTTGAACCAGGTTGACAGCATAAAATTACATTTACATTTAATTTCATTGAAGACCCTTAATCAGGAAGAGGTATAATAATCTGTTTTCAGATGAAATATAAATTAGGAGATCTGGAATTTTATGCCTTTACTGAGACAGAGCTTTACAGAGCGTTTTGGACATTTTATTTGCCAGGGAGAAAAGAAACTCATACAAGAAATCTGGATAAAACAATTTAAAAACTGGTCAAGAGAATATTTTTAGTATTCTTAGTAAAGAGTATCTTAAATAAAAAATGGTGTGTTGTAACTAAAAGGAGATTTTCATTCAAATAGAGTTAAACACAGATTATGTACAGTAATATGCACTTTCATTCAAGACTGCAGTTAGGATTGTACATGCTGCAGCATTTTTTAAGAGGAGTCTCATCTTTGACAAGAGACAGATAGATAGGTAGGTAGGTAGGTAGGTAGGTAGGTAGGTAGGTAGGTAGGTAGATAGATAGATAGATAGATAGATAGATAGATAGATAGATAGATAGATAGATAGATAGATAGATAGATAGATAGATAGATAGATAGATAGATAAATAGATAGATAGGTGAGACATATCTAAAAAGTGAGATGTATTTCTACATCCCTCTCTACCTGGGGATATATATATGTATTTTTACCTTTACATGTATTTATGTGTATTTATACAGAGACAAATTTTAAAGAGATCATTTCTACTTTGCAGACAACATTTTGCACATAAAAAATTTTCTACGTAAGTTTTAAATAATGTCAGAATCTTGTATAAATTATTTTTTCAGGGAGTAGTCTGAATGGATTTGTGGATAAGAGAGTACAAATATGTATGGTCTCAATACACATATTTGTATTATTAAAAATATTGTCCTATTTACAGCTATACTCCCATGTGCTTTCCTTCTCCCAGGAGTGTATTTTGTTTTCTATAAGGTATATCTACTAATTGATTATGATTTTTAAGTTTCACTGTAAAACAGATGAATATATGCAATATGGAAGTCACCTGATAATTCAACCAATATTTTTCAGTGATTAAAATGTAAAAAAAATAGTTTCCCATGTTTTTTATTTCCTTAATTCTTCTTTTCTCAGTTCAATTTCATCGTATGAGCTTGAAACAAAATTTATGGGATTTTTTCCACTATATTAGAGTTTTTTGGATTGCAATGGTGAATCATCAAATATCTTCTTTTTTACAGTACCTAGATAAGAGTATTAACTGTCTTTAATACTATTTATCTTTGTTTTACAGTTTAACAATAATGCTCAGAACGTCAGTTGTTTTAATCATCTTGTCCAAGCTAATGTAAGGAACAAGAAGAAGCTGAAAGAAGCTGTCTATAAAATCTCTGCTAAAGGAATTACAGATTACAAAAAAGGCTTTAGCTATGCTTTTGAACAGCTGCTAAATGTAAGTATGAAAGTCAACTCCCTCTGCTGTAAAGTGAACTTTAATTTTCAAAGGGCCACTGCACACTTCATTGTGTAACTAAGTGGTAGAAGGTCAAACCTCTGTTGAGTAAATAAATATTCCAACAATATAGTTGTTTGGTTTTGGGTTTTGGTTGGTTTTTGTTTTTTTTTTTTTTTTTTTTTTTTTTGTTAGTTTAGTTTGGTTTGGGTTTGTCTGGTTTTTTTTGGTTGGTTGGTTGGTTTGGTTTGGTTTCTTTTTTTGCTTTTGTTTTTTTTTTTTTTTTTTTTTCAAATCCCCCAGCAGGTTGCTAAAATTTGGGAAGAAATTTGGTTATCAATGTCCTGTACTGTTTCTACTTCATTCATTCATTCATTCATTCATTCATTCATTCATTCATTCATTCATTCATTCATTCATTCATTCATACAACTAGTTTTTTGTTTAACATGATTCTCAGTTGTCATATAGCTGTGGTAGTGGTTGATTTTCAGGTAACTTTATAATGGAAGGCTCTATGCTACAGTGTAACTATTTCAATTTTACCACAGTATCTCTTAGCAATTTTTAGTTAATCTACAATTTCACACTAACTATAAGTCATAAGTAGTTGACAATGGCTTGAGCAGGACAGAGGGGAGCAAATGACTTAGTTAATAGAGGAATATTAGACACCTGAGAGTATTCTAATTCCTTTCTCTCTCATGTATAAAAAGAATAATTTCCTCAAAAATTAAATACATTGTTTCCATGTTTAATTACTTGTACCTTCTAATTTGCATCTAGCGCTAGCTTTCTGAGTAGTAATATTTCCCATTTACCACAGATGTTGGGAGTTTAATAGTATTTTTTTTGAAAGTTTGTGTAGTTGTTTTTCTACTTTTCACCTTCATAAAGACTTCATACTGGGTCTTCACATCAGTGTAAATAAAGCTATACCAATTTACAGTAGTTAAGGATCTAGTTTAATAAATATGAAGTGCATTCTTTTCATTACTATTTTTTAAAATATATCAGTGAGATCTCTCAGTGTACAAATCTTTAATTTTTTCCACTAATATGCCAGAATCTGGATTTCAGGGCGCTCCCCTGCCATTGCATATGCAGCCTAGGGCTATAGCTGGTTGAAAAAATTCTAACCTTGTTAAATTTTGATGGAGGAAAGGAAAATACAGTGTTTTCAAGGTATTTTCCTAGCAGATCACTCTCTAAATGAGCAGAGGGATTTGGTGGGGAAATGATTGGGTGCCCTCTGCTGATGGTTTTATAAAACTGCAAACAGGATTTTAAAAGCTGTTGGATTTCTCAGACCAGGCTGAAAGGCATTTCCCCTTTTTCTTCATCTCATGCAGAGAGAACCAGGAAGACGCGAGAAATTTTATCAAACACAGCTTGTTCCTCACAGTATTTATATTTGATTAAGATTATGTATTACATTTCGTGCAGCACCAGATAGGTACTTTGTATGCAGGCACTATTAAGAAGACCTGAACATGGGGCAAGCCTCAAAGTCGACTTGTTTGTAGGACTAAAAAAATCACTTTAAAAAATAGTTGTAAGTCTATCTGTCGTGGGACTATCTCTCTCATAACTGGAGACAGAGGTGTGATTAGCCTCACATAATCTCTGCAAACCTGCAAATTATGACTGGATGTTGTGTATGTGTATATCAAGGGAAATGAAGAGATCGCACTAGATTATAGAAATACAGTCATCCACTTCAGATATTGGCATATCCATCCGGCAGGATGAGTAAAGAGCTGGTGATGGAGTTAGCTCTGTACTCTGGTGACAAGACAGTATAATAGGATGATATAATACAGGCCTAAACAATAATGAAAAATATACTCGGGGATAGTTTCCAGTTGCATATTTAAGAATTCAGACAATCCAATTGCTTTAAAGTCCCTGGAATAGAATATTTTTTAACAGCTCAAATTGTCATAAAAATTTTGTGGGTACTTCTTCTGGATGACAGTATTTTCAAACAATTTTCCTGACTACCAAAGCAATATTTCATTTGTGACATGAAAAACTTACTGTCTGATGTGTTGCTAAATGAAAATAGACACTTCAGGTTTTTTTTCAACATACTAATTCAAATGATTATCAATAACCTGAATTCCATCATTTTTTATGCAGTGCATGTCCATGATTTATTGTTATAGTAACTTTCTATTTCTTTGATAATAATAATATTTCAGTTCAGCAATTCAGGAGCTTTTTTTCCTCCATATTATAAAAACTCAATTTTTCAAAATAATTATCTTGTAATCACCTCATCTTGATTTGAATAGATGATTTTTGGTTTGATTTGCCTTTTCCTTCCTTGATGACATGAAATAGATAATGAAAACTGCATTCCTGAAATGTCATGTCATGAGGTGTAATCTCGATTTGCCACTTAATGAGTTAATTTTAGGGATGTCAAACTTGTATAAAACAAAAGTAATTTTAGGCACGGTAAAAAATGGATCATGTTTTGCTTCCTTGTTTGAAACAAAAACAAAAACAAAAACATCACTTTATCAAGTGCAACAGAGATCTAAAAATGAATACATAGGCTCCATTCCAGCTTGTATTCTTCTGTGGTTTAAGCTAAGAAACCACCCTTTGTCCTGGGGAAGCTGCTGTATAGGCAACACCTTCCTCTTCAGCTGTGGTCTGTGATGGGAGGACAGAGACATCTATTGGTTTGCTGAGGCAAACTGTTCAGAAGAATTATGAAATTACTGCATCAAATTTACAAACTCACTTATATACACTCCCTGAACCAGTACCTCCTCATCTTTGTGCAAATAGGGGGAAAAAAGGATGTGTTGTAAAGGCAATTCTTCTGCCTTCCTCTTGATCCCTTATAAGAGATTGATTTGTTAAGTTCATTTATCAGGATGCAAACTTTTTATGGTGGGAAAATACCATATGATTTGAGCTTATTCATATTCAGGTTTCCAATACTGTTTGAAGGCTAAAGTCTTGGAATTTTTTTCCATGATGTGACTTTAGTGTCTAAACAGTGTAGTGTTAGTTAATATCTTCTGCATGTATTAAGAGTTAAAGAAAAAACACTGCATTTTTCTGATATTGTATAAGCATATGCTAAGTAAGCCACTAGAAAAGTCCTAATTTAGTCAGTTAAAACAAAGACTAGCTCAAGTTCCCATTGCCCATAAGAGTGTTCATTTCTGAATCAATAGGAAAGGTTTATAATATGAGCAGGCTATCGTCCCTTTCCTTGTCATCTCTTTGTTTTACCTCTGATTTTATTTTGGCCTATATATTAAATCACTGTAAATGTAGGTGATTTTCTTTATTTATTAAGTATCCAACTCTACTTTTATTACTTTTTTAATATAAAAAGCATTTAAGCCCAAAGCAGCATCTTGTAGGTTAAATGTCACAAGAAAAAAATGGGCATAAATTATTTCATTCTAAATGAAATACAATGTGCTGATGAGATTGGAAAGAATGTATTGATTTCAAGCATTTTTTATGTGTTGTTTCGTGAAAGAAAATCCTTGGACTTGTTTTTTTCAAATGATTAAGCAGTTATTCACTGAATATTGAATTAGCAATACAAATAATCTCTGAGGAATAATTATTTATCTCTTACTATAGTGATTGCAAATAAAGTTTTTGTATTTTAGCTTTCTGGGAGCATTGTAGAACCATGCAGCTGCAATACTGGGGATTATTGGCAGATGTTTGAAGGCTAGCTTTGGTGTTTTGGTCTCTATTACAGAAAAACAAGGAATCATATCAGGGAGTAGGATGAAAAGTGGCAAAGGGGAGTGGGATCATCTCACTTGACCAGCCAGGTGAAAGTTAGTCATGATCTAGTCACAAAGACTAAATCAAGGTGGAACTGGGTACATTGTAAGGATGACTCTCCTATTTATTTTCCTGACTCTATAGTAAATTCATATAGAAAAATTCAGGCTTGTGGAAGGGAAGCTGAATTTATTTTACTAAATATCTAAGGGTTTTACTCTGTCACATCCAACTACTCGGAATTACCAAGATATGTCTGACTAGGACCATCTGTATGCAACACAGAGGACAAGGAACACTGGCTGTAACATTCATGAACAGTTTGCTTAGATTAAATTATTAACTTTTAGGGAATATGGAAAGAAGATGAATGCCAAAGGAGGAGCTTTTGGCTCCTTCCAGAAGAAGTCAAAATTCCTATTCATCTCTTCATTGTTCTGTTTGTGGAACAATGTCTTTATTCCTTTGCACAAAACACTGTGTTTTTCTCATTGGTTTTCTTACTTAATTTGACTGCTGAATTAGGAGTCAAAGGGGCTTCTTCTCAATTCTCTCTATTTCAGACTTGCTCTTCAGAAATAATAGAACATGCTCAGTTCTTCACTTTTTAGTTTCAATCTAATTAGAAAAGTAGGTGATGGAGAGATATTAAAGCTCTAGGCAGCTATCTCTTCACTGCAATACATTATGTAAACCTGATTCTAAAACACTTTTATAAAAGTTAGCTATTCATTTCAGTGTATTAAAAAAATAATAATTAGAAAATTACAGGAAAGAATTAAAGAAGTGGAGATGGAATTTATTCTAAGATAACGTGACAAAAATAGCAAATGCACAAAATATTTCTCAGTTCATAAGGTAGTGCTTTTTAGATGTACCTATAGGATGACTAAATTATCAGTTTTCATTTAAGTGGTCAGTGTTCTTGATCATTTCTGTGAGTAGGAGTCCAGAAAAAAAATGAATAATCATTGATTCATTAGAGAATCATTGTTCAAAGTTTGCTGTTCACCAGTATAGTAAGTATAAGGAAAAAAGTAAGGATGAGAAGAAAAGAGTGAAAATGTTTAGAGGCTTTAGAGGCCCTTACTGTACAAGTTTCATGCAGAATATCTGTAGAGGAATGCTGTGGCATTGGTGTGATGGGTATGAGCTAAAGAGCTTTCCTTGTGTTGGTGGAGGTGAGAACTGCCAGATTCTCATTCCTCTGTGTTGGGTCATATCTGAAATGAGTCATATTTAAGTCTTATGGAACAGAAAAATGGGTTTGTTTTGGGTTTGTTGTTTTGTTTTTTTTTTTTTTTTGTTTTGTTTTCATTCAGAAAGGGGTATTGAATAAAATCCTAAATGACTTTGAAAGTTTTGCCATTACTGTGTTAAAGTAGTAAGCATGTCTATATGAAAGCCATGAAATATAACAATCGTTATTCCTTTTATCCTGAAATAAAAAAAAAGCTTCTGTTTGTATCTCCTACAGCACAGTGTCTCTAGAGCTAACTGCAATAAGATTATTATGTTGTTTACGGATGGTGGTGAAGAAAGAGCGCAAGAAATTTTCCATAAATACAATGAAGACAAAAAAGTAAGTGATACATGGAAGATTTTACTACATAAAATACAACACCACAAAGAGTAACATTTAAATACAGAAGTGAAATTGGTTTTGGTATGTGTATAAGGAACTTTTTAAAAACATATTAGTATTGAACCTTAGGACACCTAAAGCTTTCTCAGTCTATAACATTTATTTGAGAAAAATAATATTTTACACCTTGCATCTCACTGTTGTAGAGAGGTAAAAAGTATACCATAATCCATAAAGAATTAAACAATTTATTGACGTTTTTCTTATATTAGTGTAATCCTTGCATTATCAAACATAAACACAGGTAGTTAAATGATATGATATGTATCTGTATCTTCTCACTGTGAATATTTTCATTGTGTTTTGTTGTTCATCAGGCAAATGCAAAATGAGATCTCAAGGTTAGAATCTGAATCTGAATAGATTTGGGCTGGAACAAGCCCACATGATTTTCCCAGTGAGGCTAATTATATCTCTGAATGTCTTAGCCAGGAGTGGGATGGCTTTCTATTGTTAAAATTTTATCTGTGGTGCAACCAGAGTTATGGGTTTGACACAAGAGTCACTGGATGAGTTCTGTTGTTCAGATTAGCTTGGATTATTAGCTGTGCTGGTTTGGGGTTTAAGCTTTGAATCTAATCAAACTTGTGGTCTGGCTTTTGCATACTTACAGATATAAAAATTCATGAGTGTGTGCGCACATGCATGTGTGTGTGTGAAATAAAACAGCATTGTAAATTTTCTTCTACTGCATCTCGGTGCAAATCATTATACTTGGAAGATTAATAACTTTCTTGATAAAAGTTAAATATGAGCTGGATTCACACTACTACTAAGAATTTACCTTTTCTGGTGCTTGGAGATGTGCCTATATCTGTTTTTGGGCGGTTTGTTTTGTTTTATTTCCAAGAAAAGCAGCTAGATTTTAGATCACAATTCACCAAGACACTTCAACAGTTGCTATGGATGCTTATGCATAAAGCAGTGGAAGTATTTCATTGGAAATCATCATGAATTTGAATTAATCCCTTCAGAACTAGAACTAGAAATGCAAGACACAATTCCCATCTCAACCCGTGATTTGTTCAGTGACCTTGAATAATTATTTTGTGTCTGCTTTATAATAGTGTTTCACATAAAATGATATGGTGGGGTTTAGTTAATCTTTGTGTCTGAGCTGAAAGTACTTTTTAAACTGATAATTAGAAGGAAGAACTAAAATCATAGCAACTCATCGTGTGACACACATGGCTGTATTCTGAAAATATATGTAGAGATTCCTCCTCAAATTTGGAGTTGGTAGCATTTATTGTGTTACAACAAAAGCCATCAGCCACAGAAATACATGCACAAGGGGGGAAGATGTATGATTCATTTCTTATTATTTTCCTTTTAATTTGCCATGTTAGGAGGAAAGCATTGTAAAATATCCAGTCCAAAAAACAAAACAGATCTGCAATGCTGAGATTTGTGGTCTTAGTCACATCATGCCTGACAATTGATTATTCTGTGAAATATAACATATGAAATGTAGGATTTATTAATTTAAAATGGTTATTTTACTGCATCCTTTAATACTTAAAATTTTTACTGCCAACGGTTGGATTGTTTTTATATATACTGTTATACATAACACAGTACACTTTCACTTTCTTGTTCCCACTAGTGAATGAGGGTTTGGGGGTTTTATTGTATACAACAGATGTATAATGTTGATAATGGTCACTATATGGATTTCTGATTATTTAGGTATATTTTCATGCATAATTAAATGCAGTGCAGATGTAATGCAAGGCAAATTTCCTACACTTGATTAAGTTCTATATATCTACAAGTTTAAATCTTAGTAAGCATGGACATTTTGTTACTTGTCTAATAAAATACTGGGTTGCCTTCCTCTACTGGTTTTCTCCAAGGTGACATTGGAAATACAAGAAATACTAAGAAAGTTTTGCAGGTATAAATTGAAGAACTATTTGCTTTCTTCTTATAGTTTCTAATCAGTTACAGTCCTTGTGGTGTTGAAGGGAAAGTTATAATTGAAAAACTTCTAACGAGATTGAACCAGTATATTCATTTTTTTGGAATCATAATGAAACCTCCCTGACAATCTTTCATAACATTCTAATATTTAAAAAAATAAAACTAATACAAAATCTGCTTGTGGTTGTGCTCTCCTTAGTAAGACCACACATGATTCCAGAATGATGACATTTGAGCTTTCTTGTTGTTCCCTCTCGGTGTAATTTAACATTAATCTTAATCCAGTAGATCATAATAACATAATTGACAGACATACTGTAACATGATAAATACACACATGCATTTAATTTTTTAAAGTCTTAGTCACAAACATGGTGTTACCTTCCTAGATTGCATAAGAGGCTGCTTTCATATATTAAGTAATGACATATTTAAAGATATGTGGATCTAGATTCTGTTGTCTTTATTGCAGTTAATTTATAATTTATTTCACAAATAGCTCATTGAATTTAAGACCAATTATATAATTTTGTTTGTAGAGAGACTATTTAATATGAGTAATGTGTTAAAAAGTTTTCCGTGTTTTACCATAGTAGCACTTTATAGTATAAATATGTATCAGTAGATGTCTTTTCTTGCCTGCTCTGCATTTATTTGAACATTTTTCTTTGTGTTCTGCATGCAGTATGTAAAAGATTAATCTTTATTGTCTTATAACACAGTCAGTTACGTCCCATCTTAGCTGCACTGTGTTGTAAACTTTTTTTTGCCTCATACAAACAAAAGACCATTCATTCAAATCTATTAATCCTTGTTTTCATCTTCCTGATGTAAAATTGCTTCAGCTCTAAAAGCATTTTCTTCTTTATGTCAGTTACTTTGTAATTCCTTGGCATGAAAGAAGCTTCAATAAGTTTTAGCCCATCAGATGACATGACTTAATACACTTGTTTGCAGTGTCCTTAGTGCAACCTTCAAGTTAAGAAGTAAAAGAATACAATAAACAATTGGAAACTACTAAAAGAGCAGCTTAGAATCTAGAGTCTGAAAAATTGTCCTGATAAATTAGGGTGTTTAATCCATTTGAAATAGCATACTGATCTATTTAAAATAATTTTCTGTCTTTACAAATAATTTGCAGTCTGAATATAAGGATTATTATAAAATTTATGTAACACAATTTTGAGGAGGAATATTCCAAGTTTTCATCTGTTTGAAGTGGAAAATCACAGTTGTGTTTCACTTTTGCATGCCTTTTTCCCTTTAGAAGGCCAGATTTTATTGTCACAGATTGCCACTACATGCTGTGCCTGATATTTAAGAACTGACATGTTTACCTTTACAGTGACATTTGGGGCACTCATATTAAATGTGTGAAATACCACACACATGCTAAATTTCAGGAATGGAGGTGGTAAATTTTCATTTTATTTGCACTCATACTGCAGATGGCTTCACTGAAGATAGCAATATAAATTTAATTGAAATGTAGACTCAGTGGGTATTCTCCATCCTGAGAATTTTGAATTCAGTTGAAAACAGAAAATGAGCTACAGCTCTTCATGGGCAAATTGTGCACCCTGAAAGGATTGCTCAATTTATGTGAGTAGGAAAAGACCTTAAACATACCTCAGGCACTTTCAGTTGTTTGAGGTTTCCTAGCATGATAGAGGTTTGTGTGGGTCAGATAGATTGATCTGACCCCTCGGATAGGAGGAGAACTGTAAGTTGGTCTCATGTGTCTTTTCCACAGAACCATCTCTCATGATTAATGCAACCTCATTTTGTGTAGATTTTTCTTATAGTATCATTTGAGAGGAAATGGTATGCAGAGAAGCTTTCCAACAACTCCGTTTGATTAAAAATATCTGTATGTGGTGGGCACAGAACTGCTACAGTGATAGAGGTCCTATGGGAGATGGTTCCAGCTTATAACTCCACTGGGAAGCTTATGACTGGAAAGTGACTTTTTCCAAATGGGACATATTCAGCATGTCAATAGAATGATAAAATGAAGCATCTGTGAGAAAACACTTGCAAAACTTTGTTCTAAAAGAAAAATACCTCCCCTCATTACCAAATGAGGGAAACATTTTCTTCACTGGTTTGAATCCGTTATTGTGTAACTGCAAGTTAGTAAAACTAAAAAGAAAACTGTGTTAATCTAAGCAATGGTGTATGAATCATTCTAGACAAGGTTGAAAATGTTAATCCTGACTACAAATGAATATTGAAAAAGCCCATGACCACGTGGCCTAGCCATGGGATTCTCATCAGGTATCAGACTGAATGAATGTAACATTCTAGGGTTTCTAGCCAAAAATAGAAACAGCATATTTCTCAACACTAATATCAGCTTCAGATAGAGTTTAACAGCTGTCAAAGTGTACCGCAACAATTCTTGTATTTCTGAGTGTGTGATAGGCTTGTGACACAGGATCTATCATAAAGTAATTAAATTAAGGGTTGAGCCAAGCAAAATTCTAGTTTATATCTGAATGGTATGTGTCATTTTTTGATAGATAAAATTTAAGCTGTTTTTTTTTTTAAGCTTTCTGAGTTGTAGATTGTTCTCTGGCCTTCTTTACATTAGCCTTCTGTGATCTTTAGACAACCAGACACAAAGATATTTCTTATTCCTCCTGATAGTCCCCCTGTGCTGTGAATTTTCTTAGAGTGATGGTACAGGAAATCCCATGGGGAAGAGATCTTCAGCTAGCTGGTTAAACTGTCTCCCTGTCTTCTTCCATAATCACTTCCGTTGTAAGAATGTGACATCTTCCAGCTGTTAATTTTAATTAATTGTATGTACTGTGACATGCAAAACTGGTAAAGCTAAACTTGGGTCAGAACTTGCAGATTCCACAATCCATTCCTTTTTCTTTCAAAGTGGAAACTATGTTATTAGAGCTCACTGAAGAAATATTTTATTCTTAAGGCAAATTATCTATTTTTTACCTTTTTCTTACCTCCACTTATTATTGAACAGCTTGCAATTTATTCACTGTCCCTGC